ACAGATTGATGAGTATTATATTCACCAGCGCGAACAGAGCAGTGACCTGGTTACTGTGGATTATTGCTAACTCTGATCTGTCTATCTTTATGTCTCTTTTACTCCCTTTCTGCTGCCAACACGATGTCCTTCTTTCCACTGCCCTTCCCGGCTGTCAGTCAAACAGCTCTATCAATAGAACAGAGGGAGACCGTTTTCGCCCCTCTCGCTCTCTCAACTCTCAGCTCTCGCCCTGACTTGATTAGTGCCAACAGATTGTTTACTAGTCAAACTGTGTCAGTGTTCAGGCAGTGAGAGTGTGTGCATGTGTCCTCATCTGTGATTCAGTGCTTAGTCGATCCCAGCAACACACAATGTCACCGGCACGCACAATGACAGGAAAGGCCGAGCTGCCCTAATACAAACAAGAGGGGCAGCAGGCGCAGAATATGCTGTCTGGTTACATGCGATCTGTGCTGAGCTGTTGAGATTGGTGTGTGAGTGTGTTTGCTGCCAATCTGTAACGGGGCGTTCACACTGACGCCGATTTGCACTGGCGAAGTGACCGGAAGACATTGGATTTTCAACAAGAGCCGGCCATATCTGACATGACCAACAACGACCGTTCGCAACGCGATGTAGGCATGAGAAAAGTTTTACTGTTAGAACTGGGTATTGATTCATCTTGTTACTTGGTACTGTATATTTCTGTTTATAATTTCCATTTTACTTCCATATGAAATAAATTCTCTTTGAATGATGCTGTAAATTATAGAGGTTTTCAGGCATATATAATCCGGTAACTTGTCTCTTGAACTATTTATTAAAAGAACTAGCTTGTAAGATTCGTTTCTTGAATATGGCTATGCTGAGTGCATTTTAAGTATTTTTTTATTTTATTTTTTTTAGTATATATTTTTAAATATTTTTTTATTTACTTTTTAGGAATTGTATGTGCTTTTGTCATTTTCATTAGTTTTTTATATTTCTATTTACTGCTATGATTTAGATTTTATTTCAGTTTGAGCAATTTTAGTTCTTTAACTTAAAATTTAAAAACGTTGTCTTGACAACTAACTGAAATAAAATAAGTTTTTCATCTAATATTTATATTTTAATTAATGAAAATTATTTGTAATAGTTTGTTAACGATAGCAATACTCTTGTATGTATGTTTGTTTTTGTGAGTTTTTCTTGCCATTAATTCATGATACAGTTTTTTTTTATTGCATAATCAGTACATTCTGCAAACTCATCCACAACTCAAGTAGAGTAAAAGATCGATCTTGCGATTTTAGGAAAAGATATCAGGATCCATGTTAACATTTATTGTGAGCAATTTCATTGTTTTATATGACTTTATGTCTTCCGGACATTACATATGCATTCGGCAGATGCTTTTATCCAATGCAACTTACAGTATTCAAGGTTTACATTTAATATGTTTGTTTTTCCTAGAAATCAAACTTATGACTTTGGGGTTGCTGGTGCCTTGTATTGCCAACTTAGCTTTAAGAAGTTTGCAAAGTGATTTGTTTCTGCCCACATGCAGCAATATAAAAAAAAAATGATGCATGGAAAACTGTGAGAAATTGCCAGCATTGATTCATGCATCAATATGATGCATAATGCATTTCAGAAATGTTACTACAGTAGAAAAGCTTTCCCCTCTAGTTCATTTTAGAGATGAGAACTGATTTATTGCCATTTAATTGTAATCAGATTATTGCTAGTTAGTTGCTAGCAAGTTAACAATAACAGGCCACCTAGCAGTAGGAACACCCTACATGGCCCAATAATACAGCCACTCATCGACTTTAGCGATAAAACCACTATATGTTTGAACAAAGCATAAGAGGGTGTGTGTACACATGACTTACTCGTCAGGCTGTGGTTAATGCATTTCATACAGCCATTTTTCAAAGTCACCAAGTGACTGCGTTCACAAAGCGACTGTTTAGCTAATGTTTTTAACAGCAACGGCGTACAGTAGCACAACAGATCATCTCCATGACACGCTGTCTTCTGAGGTTTAGACACATGACTTCAGATGTTTAACGACTGATCTTTAACCAGAGGCGTGGTATCGGTCATGTGTCTAAAGGTAGCACAAAACGTGTCTCTTGTTTTTACTATTTCATAACTCTTCTCAGTTCGGCAATAACGTTAACGAGTAATCTTCCACTTACTATCGAAGAGGGTGCGAGATTGACAAACTCTCCTCCTTCGCGGTGGACTCCTTGTGTTAACAGACACCCACTTATAGAATAGCTTCAGGGCAAAGCTTCTCCACACTGATTCTAAAAGTAAAGCAGCCCACTCATGTTCCTCAGACACGCCACTCACAGCACTGAACACATCTGAAATTAGGCCAGAAGGTAAAAGTGAGAGGAAGACGGGGTTGTGGAAGCGGTCGTGTCGTCCGATTTGTTTCGATTTCACCGAACGAGCAGCCAGACACCTAAATTACCTGGTCGTCAGAAGGCATCTTGTCACGAATACAGAAAAAGATAAGAATAAACATTGGAGGCCTAATGATTAGCATATGTGGTGTGATGTTGGTCTGAAAAAGTAAATACATTTTTTCAGCTTGAATTAAAAGAACAGGGTGTGTGTGTGTATATATACACTACCTTTCAGATGCTTGGGTTGATAATAATTTTTAATGTTAACAAAATAATAAACTTATGTATTTTTTAATGTAATTAAATTAACATTTAATTTTTTTAATGTAAAGCAGAGTGATAAATATTTTCTCTAAAATTGCTAACATCGTATTAACCATATTTGCTAAGTAGATTTAAAATGATGCATGAGGAATAAAATTTTCCATTATGTTCCTTGAAATTATTATTAATTCATTTATTCATCAGAAGGACTAACAATAAGCGTAAAATGTAGAAAAATGTGCCAAACCTTGAGCTGTGTGTAGCACCTGTTGCTCTACACATCAATCTGAAGGATACTTACCAACATTAAGAGAGAGTGATTGAAGTTTATTTTTTACATGCCTGATCACATCTGACCTTAAGCATGTTGGTGTGTTTTTATTGTATTTTATTTTATTTTATTTATTTATTTATTTAAATTTTTTGCAAAGAGGTTGTTCATGAAAGACGTGGCAGTAAAAAAACTGTTTTAAACTCACTGATCGTGTCTGTCTGAACATAATTAATCATCTTTGTGCTCATTTAGTGAATAAATGAGTTATTTAGAATGCAAAATAACACTCTGGGATCTAATTGAACAGTTTTAGTAATGCCACAAATGAATGACTGAATTTGTGTTTTTGTTTTTTTTTTATTTAAATTTAATAAAAAAAATGTTTTAAAAAAATTAATTTGCATAGTTCGAACAGCCCAGCTCTATCTTCAGGGGTTAAACACTGAAATGGAAAAATTGGAGATGCTGTAAAAATATCTTTGCCTTGGTACGATCATACTCATGAGTCATGACACAAGACGCAGGCACAAAACTGCCTGCCATAATGGCCTTTAGGAAATTGAATGGCCTAATAAAAATCAACACAATATTCAGAGTTGTTTAAATTTATGAATAAAATATTTATATATAAATATTCACCCAGCCGTTCTTTAAGACATCCCATGGTGCTCATGAATCCAGTTTGCAACATTTCTCATTCTCTTTATTTCCCATCCTCGCTCTACTATAATATTATACTCCAATATAATAGTATAAAATAAAAGTCGCACAGAGGCCAACCTTACTGCATTTCTGTCTATTGAGAAAGCAAGCATCCTGCTCTCCATCAGGTCCTAAAGGTCAGCATCATGCTGTTATCACTAATTAGCCAATCCAAATATCCCTACATAAGAGAACCTCTCATCTTATCGCCAAAAATAGCCCGTCTGGAACATACTAAACTGACAAAATGTCACTCTATCTCATGGTGAGCAACTCCAAAGTCCTCCGTTTCTCTGAGATGCTGATTCACGGATGATTCTCGTCCTGAAAACATGGATTAGAAATGATTTGTTCCTCAGATCTCCTTTTTTAGTAATGCTATCACCCTACTTGCGTACATGCGAGTGTGTGTGTATGTGTGAGAGAAGAGAGATGTATTCGTATGTATGCATGTATATGCATTTATGTGTCTGGCTCTTTGGGATCCATGAGGCCTGTTTTTTGTAACACAGCACAGCCAAATCAATTAAAGTTTGATTTTAATTTGTGTGTGATGTTTCTCTTTGGTTTGGCTTAGTGTGTCCGTGTTTGTCAGCATGTTGAAGCGTGGTCTTTTGTGCAGAGACATGTTTACATTCCTCAAGCTGTGAAAGACTGGTGGCGTTGCTCTCTCACTTGTTCTCTCTCCTTTTATATTTCTCTTTCATTTTTTTCCCTTTTCTCGCTTTTTGTGCTTGTGCTGATGGGACGCACTGAGTCACATTCACAGGCTGCCCACTCCAGCTGTCATGATGGTAACTGACAGGGAGTTCGTTCACAGCAAGAAAAGGAGAGAAAGACGGATAGAGGCAAAGATAAACGGAGATTGAGTGGGCTGTGATTGCCTCATGCTGATTTGTAGACAAGAGTAAAAGACGGATTTATGTATACGTGTGGGTGTGTGTATGTGTTATGAGGAAGTGAATGCATGAACATGCAAACATGCACATGGCCGCTGGTAATTACTGATGGCTGAGAAAGGGCAAAATCCAAAACGTTCATCTGTTAGAGCAGGGCAGAAGGGGTTTCAAATGTGAATTCTCAGTTTACTCACTCACTTTGTTCCAAACCCATATGACTTGCTTTTTTTTCCTGTGAAACAAAATAAGGCTTTGAATATGACCACTCTTTTCAGTGTAATGAAAGCGAATGAGGAATAAGGCTGTCAAGCTCTAAAATTACAAAAAGCACTCTAAATGTATCATATAAGTTGTCCCTATGAATCATGCGCTATATTTTCTGAAGCCATATAATAGATTTGTGTGAGCAACAGCCTGAAATTTAAATAAATGAAAGTTGAATAAAACTCTAACTTATGTTTTTCTCTATCATTGTAGATGAATATAAGATGAAGGGAGTGGAGGAGGTGAAATACATGCGTGGAGAAGAAGACAGAGTAAATGCACGCAACCAGGAGAACCTGGTGAGAAACAAAATGCATGCGCACACACACATACACACACACCTCTGGGAAATTCTTCCTGTGCAGTGGTGTCCATCATATTTTGCTTTGTATTCACACACGCATCGCTTGAGGCTCATCTGCCTGTAGTTGGCTTATACGTTGATAGGTAAAAATAAGTGTATGCAGTGCACACGTGTGCCGACATGTTTGGAATGTGGGAGAGGGAAACTCTTGACAAATTTTCCCTTTTTGTCACAGACTCTCATACTTAGACACTCACATTACCAGACAAAATCTAAGATTCTGGTGTTTTTACATGCATTTTTTTTATACGCACACTCATTAAAAAATTCTCAGACATCTGGACTTATCTGTAATAGTTCTTCACCTAAAGAGGAAGCTTTATCAACTATAACAATAAAGTAATAATTCTTATTCTTATTGTTGCTATTGTAAGAATATTTAAAAAATTGTATTTATTTATTATTTTATTTTGTAATTATTTTTTGTTTTTGAACCCTGAAACTCTCTACACACCTACACATGCGTATTGTTTTTTTTTTTCCTACCTACTTAACTAATAATTTCATGGTTTCTTGTATAATGACCTTTAGAATTAAACTGGCTGATAAAATACTTTACTTTTTAGACTTTATGTAAATTACTCCGTTATGATTGGCTAACCTTTTCACCTGTTAAAAGTAATAATGTCACTGCCAAGTTGTTAAATACTGGCATTGATATGCAAATGTGGGTCGTCATATGTTAATGTTATATGTTAATGTGCACAGCGGGAGTGTAAAATACATCATTACTTTATTTCTTATCCAAAATAGTTACATATTTCAAATGTAAAAATCCACTATTTTGGGTTCCCGGTGTATTTCTTGCACATACATTCTTGATTATATTCTATCTGTATTATTTTTTAAATAATTATATTATATAATGATATATTATGCATCAAAGCAATCAAATAAAACTTGACCGAATTTCAGATACATCATATCATTTAGTGATCATAATAAAATTATTGTCCTGTTTCTACCCCTAATGCTCATGATTTCAACATTATAATTAAAATGTGTAAAGAATTACATGCTTTTGCATCATAGTTTCCATAAATTGTTTAGTTGCATTGTGAATGAGTATGTCTACGTAGTACATTTCAAATAGAGCAAGTAAAGTTCTTTTTCCATGATATGTCCCCTTTAAACTGCCCTGCTTAATGAAGTTGTACAGGCAGAGCAGGTGCTTGGATACCCATGTTCTGATAAGGGGGGTTAGAGGAGAATAGAGACGCAGTGAAAGCAAGGGCAGCCCTCTCTCTCGCAGTGGCCAGAGTAAGGTCACTCCCAGGGCCTCTGTATCACACTGTGTTCCAGGCAGAGGAGCTGGTTCTGGCCCAAGCTTTAAAAGCCGACAGGGCCTCTGCACCGGAGGGCCACCAGGGACGGACGGCGGAGGCTAAATTTGGCTTTGTTTTGAACAGTAGTAAGTGAAAACGTGTTCTTTCCGGGGGTTTGCAGGAGAAGAGCTCGATGCAGCAAAGGACCAAACAGCACAAAGAGGTGCCTGGGCCCAGCGCCAACAAGACGAAGTGAGTGGGTTTATACATGTGTCTTTCTGTTTACGGTGTGCGTGTGTTTCTGTTTGTTTTGTGTGTGTGGGTGAGGGCATTAGAGTTCTTGCTCTGTTGAAAATGTGCCAGAAGTCTGTAAATTGCGTGTGGTTTGTTTTGCTTTGTGGCCTGTCTTATCCCCTCTGGATCTCATTTGCATGTTCTGTTTGAACGTAATGTGCCATATGTTTCACAATTTATTGTATGTAAACATGATGTGTTTATTGCCTTCAGATGCAATTGTAAATTTCAAAGTGTTTTAATGGCATAATTATTTGTAGTGAAATTGCATTTCTAAAGCATCAATAACACAATTGTGATTGTAAATAAAGAATAAATAAAAAAGCTAACACTTTATAATTATTTTCTTTGTTAAAAGTCATTTAAAGGGGTAGTTCAACCATAGATTACATTTTTTTCATTTATTGACCCTCATGCAATATACCTGTATTGATGATATTATACATACAGTATTTAAATATATAACTATATATTTTACTTTGCGTTATATATATATATATATATATATATATATATAGTCCCAAAAATTCCTAGTGAAAATCTTGACAAAATGCATGCAGCAAAAACTGCCTCAGTCCCCAATCTCATTTTTGTTTATATGGAAAAGAGCTGCATGAACTTTCTGCAAAATATCTTCGTGTTCAATGGAAGAAAGAAAATGATACAGGTCTTAAAACAAAATCAAGGTAAATGAAGTAAGGAGTAAATAATGAAATGATTGTAAATAAAGAATAAATAAAAAAGCTAACACTTTATAATTATTTTCTTTGTTAAAAGTCATTTAAAGGGGTAGTTCAACCATAGATTACATTTTTTTCATTTATTGACCCTCATGCAATATACCTGTATTGATGATATTATACATACAGTATTTAAATGTATAACTATATATTTTACTTTGCGTTATATATATATATATATATATATATATATATATAGTCCCAAAAATTCCTAGTGAAAATCTTGACAAAATGCATGCAGCAAAAACTGCCTCAGTCCCCAATCTCATTTTTGTTTATATGGAAAAGAGCTGCATGAACTTTCTGCAAAATATCTTCGTGTTCAATGGAAGAAAGAAAATGATACAGGTCTTAAAACAAAATCAAGGTAAATGAAGTAAGGAGTAAATAATGAAATAATTTTTGGGTGATATTTTTAGCTGTTTATGAAACATTTAGCGCTTAACTGGGCAGTAGATGAAAATGTTTCAAACCATCTAGAAGTATTTAAGTGTAAATTAATCTATGATCTTAATATTTTATTTGTTTATGACTTAATGGACTTTAATTTTCACTGGGTTTTGAACATTATGAACACATTGCACAGAAAGCTAATACATATGGTGTTCAAAAGTATTAAGTATGGTGTATGGTGCTGACTGGAGGTAAAGCAATTGTGTTTGAGAGCATGTTCAGTAAGAATGAACCGTTCATTATTGTTTTATATGTGTATCGATGGAGTAATGCTCAGTTAATGTGCTGTGTGTGTGTGTGTTGAGGCAAGGGTTTATGGTCCCTGCTGTAATGTGTCTATAAAAATGATTCCTGCCCAGCCACTCTGGATCCTACAGGAGCTGGTAGCTTGTGAGTGTGTTTGTGTTCTTTATGCTTGTTGTAATGGAAAATTCTAGTGTATTTGTTGCTTCCCATCTCCTACCCCCACTAACTTTCTCTCTTTCTCTCTCTCCATCTCTCAGCATACATACGTCAGAGAGTCAGCAGGAGTTCTTCAGAATGCTGGATGAGAAGATTGAGAAGGTGAGGGAGGGAGGAAAAAAAACGAGGCACAGAAGTAAAGCAGGCAGCAGATGGGTTAGAGATTTTAAAGGGCCAGTGTACATGAGACCACCCTTCAGAGGACTGTTTGTTTATCTAGATTGTGACATTTAAAAGATTGTCTTGTCCTTCCGTCATGTGCATCGCCTGTCTGGTACTTCCTGTAGAACTCTGGAGATAAAATGCTATATTTATGGCTCTGGTTTTTTCCCAGTACTTACTTCCTCCTTTCTCTCTCCCACTCTTATCTATCTTTGTGTCTCTCTCTTGAGGTCAGAGATCAATTGGTATAAAATTGGTTGAATCTAAACATTTTAGATTTAGTTTTAAATAAGCTGAAACAGGGTTAGAGTGGGTATAAAAGAATCACCCACCTTTCAAATAATCATATCAAAATATCATAATCAAAACACAGGTTTTGTTTTATCCAGCTGTATTTACTCAGTGCAACTTATAACATCCAAGTGAAAGATATAACACCAACATGTCAGGAAAAAATTCACATCTAGACTTTGCAATATTTGGCCACTCTTCTTTGCAGCTCAAGTTCT